AGCTGTGTAAGTGTCTGACTCTTGGTTTCAGCTCCAGTCGTGATTTCAGGGTCTTGAGATCGAGCCCACGTCGGGTCTGTGTTCAGCGAGGAGTCTGCGTAAGACTCTGTCCCTCTCAAATAAATAAATACATCCTTTAAAAAAAAAAAAAAACAACAGCTCACTGATGAGGACCTTTTCACATAACTGGAGCAAAAATATGATGGATATTATCTCAATGGATCTTTGAAAGAAAAACAACTGGCTAGTTTCTAAAGGGCTCTTATTTATTTATAGGCAAATGATACCATCCTGTTTGTTTTCATATAAGAAATGGAGAGGTTGACAGTTTTTCAACTCGACTAAAGTTTCCAAAGATACTTGCATTTGAGCTATCTTCTTTTTTACCATTAAATAAATTCCGGAGTATTCTTTCATTCATGCGTAACTGTGGACCCTGGTGGGCCCAGCATCTGTGGAACAGATGGTTTATGAGCAGAAATTACATATTCCCAGAGTGAAATTGAGGCCTGAAAAGTTGATGGATTCATCAGCATGTAAGAGGCTTTTAAAGCCTGAAGATAGATTTGTTTATTCAAGAAAAAATTGCTGAGTTTTTGCTATGTGTCAGGTGCTGTTTTAATCACTGGGGATTCATTAATGAACCAAACTAATCAAGCCCCACGCTCAGCCTCTAGAAGGCAACGAATAAAGACATGATGTAGCAGTTAGTGCGAGTGCTGTGGAGAGAATCAGGGGGAGAGTGTGTTTGTGGGGGCACAGTTTGAAACGGGATATAGGCAGTAGTGTCCACACCAAGGTGACCCGTGAGTATCCTGAAGCTGAGGGAGCCGGCCGGGCAGGCATCCCGCACGCAGGGGCAGTAGTGAGAGGAGGACGCATCTGATCCGCTGGGGGCGCCGGCAGAGGCCACGCTCACACAGTGGGGCTTTCAGCCCATCTTAAGGACTTTGAGTTTTACTCTGAATGGAGTGAGAAGCTTGGAAGCATTTATGCAAAGGAGTGACATGCCCTAACATGTTTCAGTACGTGCTCACTGGGACAGAATTAGGGAAACTTGACATTAAGAATAGGATACTGAGGTTTTCCTCTAGTTAATAAGGTTTGGTTCTCCTTTTAGGACAAACTTCTGCCCAGCCTGTCTTCTATTTTTGCCTTACTGCTGGCTGACAGGAATTGGATAGTAGAACAACATTCCTTGGAGGCGTTTACTCAGTTCGCAGAGGTAATTATAAGACCAGCCTATCAAAGTGATCGCCAAAATGTATTATTTGATTTTCTAAAACATTCCAGAAACATTGATTGAGCTACTTTTGGTCCTATGAAAATTTTCCCTTGGAGGAGATAATACCAATGATCTCTTTTGTACCATCTAACAACGGAGCATAGAGAAATGAAGGTAGTTTCCTAAGGTCCTGGGAGAGCAGGAACAACCGAACCAGGCATTCAGACCAGGTCTGTCAACTTGGACACTGTCTTCCAGACCGTACTTTTGAGTGTGAAATGAATAATGCATTTTGTCTCGGTCACTTAGGAGTTAGGTTGATAAACACAGGGACCTGTGAGCTGGGGGCCACGGAGAAGGCGAGCCTCTGTGGGATGCTCCTTTTCTCTTGCCTGGAGCTATGCCATCCCGCCTTTGGCCCTCAAGGGCCCAGGACATCAGGATGACGGGGCAGAAGTGACACGCCTCCAGCTCTGTGCTCGTGCAGAGCGCGGCCTGGTCCCGAGGCTCCCTGAAGGAACCAGGAGCTGGTGGTCTTTTGAGTATCCTCTGGCACTGTTTTCTTTTTGGCTGCCTTTCTGATTAAGGTAGCTCTTACAACGTACGGAGTTGTCTTTGCAAGCTGCTGAGATACATTAAAATTGGTCTCATTTATCTTTTAATAGGGAACAAATCATGAAGAGATAGTTCCACAGTGTCTCCGTTCTGAAGACACAAGGAACAAAGTTGTATCCTTTCTGGAGAAGGTATTTATTTCTGTAGATCAAAATATAGCAGCATCACAGATTTTGTCATTGTTTTTTTAAATCGTAGGATTGTAACTAAGTTAAGTATCCTCTTAGCTTACATTTTTTATAGTGCTCAGCACGGAGGTGGCACATGAAACAGCTGGCCCCTATGGCGAGTCACAGCAGTGGAGCGTCCGCAGCCCCTCGGCCCACAGGGCGGGCTGTGGCAGTGCTGCTCGTTCGCGCGCTGGGAGGACCGGGGCGTGGGGGACTGTAAATGGCTCCTGTCAGACTGCATGCGCGGCAGCAGGCCCGAGAGGCCCATGTGTGTGTCCCGAATTGAGACACACTTTAGCCATGGTTTTGCTGCATGGGCAGAGACGAAGACCTAGTTTTCCAAACAGTGACATTTTGAAGCTGTTTTTATAGTTAGAACCAAACTGTTCCATCATTGGACTCCCATGTTTGTGTACCCCATGCAGCTTATCTGGGGCTAGTTTTAGGGTAAGAGCTCATTGCAGCCCTAGTAGAACAGTTAAGCCACACATTTAGAAGACCGAGAAAAAGTGAATTATGCTTAACTAATTTTTTTTTAATCCCATGCCCGTTATTAAACTGGGCTGTGTGTACACACATGTGTATTACCCGCCACCACATACCCGATCAAGTATGTGGTTGCACGTTTTTGTGTTTCTTACCCTACACATAGTAGACTGTCATTTTTCCAGGTTTGGAACTTTTCTGTAGGGAAGGAGAACACTGTAATTTTATCCAGATTCCACGACGATAATGCATTTACAGATGAGTCCAGCTTCCAAAATTTGCCGAGCTCACAGGCCAATAAGCCAGAATAGTTTAACACCGGGAGCCTAAACACAAACACAACACACATGCATGCACCTTTTTTTTTTTTTTTTTTTAGTTGGGGGCAGGATGGGTAGGGGGAGAGAGAATCTTAAGCGGAGTACATGTGCCTGGCACAGAGCCCGAAGCGGGGCTCCACCTCATGATCTTGAGATCTGATCTGAGCCGAAATCAAGAGTCGGATGCTTACTGAGCCACCCAGGAGCCCCCAGGAGCCCCCAGCCTTCTCATTCTCTGAATATCACATCTGCTTGGTCTTTACTTGTTTACTTGGTTTGTCGTGATCCGCGGCAGACCGGGCTTGTAGACGAAGCTGCAGTTGCCAGAGTGGAACGTGTGAAACAGGAAAAAGGCATTTTCCGGGAACACTTTGCTACAGTTGCTGTAGAAGCAGCAAAGTGGTCGTCTCTACAGGTATGGACTGCATTTCAGATAGGAGAAATTCTCCCCTTCTTACTGGTAAAAGTAAAAAAAAAACTAGTATGGCTTCTGGCCTCATATTGACTGTCACAATATAATCAAATCGATCTACACAGGTAAAAGTCTCCTGTTTTACAGTAGCTGCTCTTTAAAAAATTCTGTTTGTTCTATGGTTGATAACCTTTCAGGAAGAGAGGTGGGACTACAAAAATACCACAGATTTTCTCTTTCAGTATGACTTTCAACTGTTTATAGCAACCTTCGGGAAAGTTACGTATCTGGATCAGTGAAGATACAAATGTAGTTTCGGAAACACTGCAGAGAACCAATGAACTCACCTTCCAAAATGTTTCGGTTGATCCCTTGCTTCATTCATCAGATCGGCCTAAATAACTTCTGGCAGTATCTAGAAAGCACGTCTGCCTGTTAAACGGCAGAAATCTGATACGACTAAGGATATTCAAAATATTGTTTTGGGCACTCAGACTGTGTTTAGAATAGCAATTTGAGAGAGGAACAATGTTCTCGTGAGTTGTAGTTACAATTCTTATGTAAAGAAAGTACATCTATGTGAGTAACTTGTTTTCAAGACCTATTTAACTTTATAGATTTCAGGCCTAAAAATTACATAGCTTTGCTCTAAATAAGCCTTCAAGAATTTATGACCTTCCTTCGTTAGACTGTGATTACAGAAGACATTTTGGTCCCGATCCCCACGCAGGTGCAGTGATGTTAGAAAGCCTGACGACTTCCTGAATTGGGTTGAAAAGCATCTGAAAGACCATAGCACATAGCATTAAAAAGTAAACCGGAACCATTTAGAAAACCCATACCTAGAGCTTTTTTTGTCAGGACGAGATCTTTCCAAAGAACACTCTGGAAATTACCCAACCAAGGCAGCATTCCTAGTGTCCTTGAGCCCTAATGGTAGTAGCACCCTGAATTACTGTGACTAACCAGAAACACCTTCATGTGTTTTTCTAGGTGATACAGGGATGGTGGTTCCCTCCTACCCTTGTGAGCCAATGATAAAATAAAATTTATGTTTTTGAAGTCCCAAAAGAAAGTTCTGGATCATCTTGGGAATGGGTATCATGGCATTACTTACCCCGTGTCGTTCTCATTTGCCAGCCTGATGCAAAGAGAGCCCGTCGGGAGTTCCCCTTGGAAGAAGAGTACAGGTCAGCGCTGCAGGCAGCATCAGGGGCCTTGGAGGCAGTAGAGTCCTTACTCCAGAAGGCTCCGGCTCCAGACTGGCTTCCACTGAAGATGGAGATGCTCCAGGAAAGGATTGATGAGCTGAGACGACGCGTACTCTAGGCTGGCTCTTGAATGGACCGGACCGTGTCACCAGACAGAGCTAGGTACGATTTTCACCATCCTACACTGTGCTCTGTAGGTGAATGTACTGACGTAGCTATGCCTGCGTTTTCTGACACACATAAAATAACTTTTGTAAAGCTGAATCTAGTGAAAATAGTCTTTATTGGACATTTAGAGAACAGGTGGGTGGGGGAGATTTCTCAGGAAGAACTTTGGTACAATGTAATCCGTGTGGCCCAATCGGGGACCGCCGGGTCCCCACAGGGCCACAGACACTGCAGCTGTTGACAAATAAATAAGCTGCCTAAGAAAACCTCAGTAATTTCAGATCATTTATATACTTTACAGCTAAAACTTTTTCAGCTAAAACTTTTTCAGTAAGTTGTATTTCGTAATAAAGCTTACTCTTCTGACAAAGAAATGGCACAAAATTAAGCTAATCAGCTGGAATTTTTGTGTTTATTTTCTTTTGGAATCGTCCTGGAAAAAAGCAGTAACTTCAGCCTTTCCGCAGCTACCTGCTCTTCATAGAAACTGGCCTCAGACGCACACGGGCTCCTCCTCCACGAACCCAGCGCTGCGCCTCTCCGCGGGGCGCCAGCCAGCACTCAGGGGGCTCGAGCTTCAGTCGGCAAAAACGGAGGCTTTTGGGTTTTCTTGTCTGCAGAGCCCGCTTTGAGGTATTAGTTTGATTTTTTTGTTTTTTTTTTTTAAGGAAATCCTTTTCCCTAAAGTTACACCCGTTGTCACCAGTTATTATCTTCCCAGTTCAGCTCCCCTTCGTCTCCCCAGCCTTCAGACTCTCCCTGCAGCGAGATAAAGGAAACCAAGGGCAGGCTGCTGAGACCAGTCGTTTCTGAATGTAAAGGGGCCTAACCCTCCTGCACTAGGCAAAGGAACTTCCCTCAGCGGGACGCTGAAGAGGAGGATTACTTTGGTTCCAGATTAGGAAACCAGAGCACTGGAAACCAACTTCCCAGGGACCATATAAGTACAGTCTGGTGACACCCTATTCTCGATTTAACCTCTTCTTAAATAAAAAGGTTGTAATAGTAACCAGTGGCCCCCTAACCAGTCTAAGCACTGCAGTTCTTTCTGGGGAGGGAAAGACACCATTTACAGGAAGCGACTGCAGTCACTGAGGGCCGCGTCCCTCATTGCGAGCGACTGTGCGTGGGCGCGTCTGGTACCGAGACCGGCCGCTGGTACGCGCAAGGGCATCCCTGGAACTAGCGGCACGACTTACTAAGCCTCACCTCAGGCATCTCTGCTGCAGCAAATTTTGAGGAAAACTGCGTCACTGGTGAGACGTCATCCTTGTCAGAAACCACCATTTCTGTCCTCAGTTCAGGCAAAATAAGAAGAGTAGCTGAAGGCTTAATTTCTGGAATCATATCGGCAAACCAGTCCAACTCTGGATCTGGAACTGGCTTCTTTTTTACCTGAATGGTGAACTCCTCTCCTAAACCAAGTTCTGATGAAGCCGTGAAGCGCCTTTCTTGTGACGACACTTTTGGTGGCTTGGTTTGGTCTGGGTCATCTCCGCTTTGTGCAAGACTGGTCTTTTGGGGTAGACTCGGTTTCCAAGGCTCGGACTCTTCAGTGAGTGAAAGCAAAGTAGGAAGAGCCTCCTGTTCCCTAGAGGCACCTGGGGGCACGGCTGGGCCTCCACCTCCCGCGCTTGGCTCAGCATCCACGCTGCCGGGCTCCAGGTCGTCCCACGCCGCCTCCGCCACGTCAGCGAGTGGGGATGTGGAGGCATCGTAGGATTCTGTAGGACAAACCCGGATGCTGACAGCTTTGTTTTCAGGCTCCTCGGGCTCGCTCCAGTCAGGCCACTCCTCAGACTTTTTAGAACTTGATGGGAAGTTCTCACGATCTCCTGAGGTATTTTTCACATCTGAGAGTCCGTTCACGGGAAATTTAATAGGCTGAGGAAACAGATCACCTGTGGGGACATGTACAAAACTTAACTCTCATAAGGTGTTAAGAGCTAGCAGTATCTTTAGGAAAAGGTTAACACTTAAAACAAAAACAAAAAACATGGCTCTAATTTCTTAGAAATAGACCCAGGTTACTAGATTCTACTTACAAAAGAGACCCCAGCAGAACAGAGCAAGGATGTGATATGTTATTCAAATACTTAAACTAAACTAACTGGAACATATAATCATTCACTAAATATTCAAACAGGCTGTCTGTTGGCATAACTGTCTGAAACCAGGCAGCGTCAGCCCCAGAAGCGTTGTGTGGTCAAGCAAGTTTGTCTTAACCCAATGTACCCTCATTTTACATTTTAAATTTTATTTATTTTGAGAGAGTAAGAATCCCGAGCAGGCTCTATGCTCAGCACAGAGCCCAATGCAGGGCTTGATCTCATGACCTGAGATAAAATCAAGATTAAGATGCTTCAGAGACTGAGCCACCCAGGTGCCCCAACATACCCTCTATCTTAAACAGATTTCCTTAAATGCAGTCAAGGCCTTTTTTTTTTTTTTAATTAAAGATTTTATTTATTTATTTGAGAGCGAGAGCATGAGAGCTGAGAAGGTCAAAGGGAGAAGAGGACTCCCCATGGAGCTGGGAGCCCGATGCGGGACTTGATCCCGGAACTCCGAGAGCATGACCTGAGCCGAAGGCAGCTGCTTAACCAACTGAGCCACCCAGGCGCCCAAGGCCCTGGCATCTTATGCAGTGTGTCCGGACTCTGCTGCTAACATTTCCCCACACTTACTTAAGCACACAGCTCTTTTTCATGGCATACCTCCTGCCATCTAACAGTACTCTCATCCTCTGATACAACTGGAAAACGCAGCACTAAAGCATCAGAAGTACCAAAGTAATGTCTGCCAGCTCTGCTCACCAGTTACGAAGAAACGGGAGGTATGTGCCCTGCAGTACAGGAAACACAGAGGAGACCCCAGCTGACTACAGACTTGTAAGTGATAACAGAAATCAGCCTCAGTATTCCCAAAGTACCCTTAATTTCCAGAACTTAAAACTTGGTACTCAGAAAAACATTCATCTAAACAGTGGAAAAGCTATATAAATGGTATATTTCTACCTGTCTGTAAACGAGTATTGTAGCAAGCTCGCTGTATGCGCTTCTTGCTGATGGGCATGCTGCCAGAAGAGAGACATTTAGGGAATATGCCAGAGGAGGGGTTCTCTAAGACTGGTGCCATCTGACTCTGCTGGCTACAGACGACGTGCGGGGGAGAATCTGAAGATAAATAAAAACTCCCCAAAGTAAAAGGGATAGTAAATTCCTTCTTGTTCTATCAGGGTAGGTGAGCAACAATTAAGGGAAATGGGTCCATTTAACACAGATAAAAAAATAGGTTGTAGGGAGAGAGCATCTTCCAGCATCAGGAGAAACACACCTGTTACACAGTGGACTGCCTGTCCTTGATGTGTTTCAGGGCAGGCTGAGTATCTACGTGATGTTAAGGGACTTGAAAGGATTCAAGCATTAGGTGAGGACTTTTACAAAACTTAACGGCCTTTGAACATTTTGGCAATATAAAATCATAATTGATTCTACTTTTAAAAAAATAAGTCTAAGTACAGCACACCAATGTGAATGTACTTAATGCCAAACACTGTGCAGTTAAAAATGGTTAAAATGGATTTAAAATAATTAACAACATCCTAAAATAATCACTTTACTACTTTGGTGTTTACTTTTCTAATCTTAAAAAAAGGATCCACGTGTATTTGTAAACATAAATGTGTTTCAACTTGACATGATATTGTAGACCTTTTTTGGTCTTAGGTTTGAATCTGAAATGTGTGGTGGGAAATTTTAAAATACGTTTTCTGTATATTGTAGAGTCTGTACGTCCCCACACGCAAACAGGCATTTTATGCGTTACATATGATTAAAATGTAATAAAATGGGAAAAAATGGTTAAAATGGTAAATTTTATGTCATGGTAGACATTTAATCCCAGCTAGGGTGGGGTGGGACTGTTTAAAAAAAATGTTGGTCTTTAACAGTTTACCAAAAGTTCATAATCAACTGTGGGCACTGGTCAAAAGAATTAACAGCAAAATTTTTGGCTTAATACTTCCTCTGCCCGGGGTACATCATCACAGGGAGGCTTTGCCTGGCCTCCAGGGCCTGACCTCTGCAAGCCCCGCACACTTTTGCTTGCTCCTGCCACCATCTTCCCTGCTGACCGCCTACCAGTGGTTCTTAGCCAGTGTCCCCTTCTGCAACGCTCTTCCGTGCAGACGGACTTCCCTGAGGTACCCTTTTCATAAACCTCAGTATTATCCCATAGTAAGTCTGACCAGATAGGTAAAGTGCAGAAGAACAGAAGGAGAGAAAAGTCCAAGGATCCCCTCCTGTATACGTGCCCCCTCCCCACCGTTCTCCCAAGTCCCTGCAAGAAGGGCCACTCTTAACTGGGAGCTGGGAACGCAGGCTGCCGCCGCAGCTCAACCACCATCTTGGAGAAAGAGCTTACCTAATTGAGAAGTCAGTGGGGTTAGACCTTGATCTGTCTTATTAAGTCTTCCGGAAAGTTTAGTAAAAATTAATGTTACTCCTGCTTTGGTGCCCTTTTGGTTTCTTACAGAGATTACGGCCCAACAGTATATAAAATGTCCAGAATTAGGAAATGGCAGTAAATACAACAGGTACGAGGAGTGGGGACTCCTGCCAACTTGGCACGCAAAGCCGCCCTCCGAGAGGGACTCCCGAGTCTTATCTCAAAACTGCACAGGGGCGCCTGGGTGGCTCAGTGGGTTAATGCCTCTGCCTTCGGCTCGGGTCATGATCTCAGGGCCCTGAGATCGAGCCCCACATCGGGCTCTCTGCTCAGCAGGGAGCCTGCTTCCTCCTCTCTCTCTCTCTCTGTCTGCCTCTCTGCCTCCTTGTGATCTGTCTGTCAAATAAATAAATAAAATATTTAAAAAAAAAAAAACTGCACACACCACTGTCCCCATATTCCTCTCCTATGAAAGGTAAATACATCTCCCATCTGCTGTTTGGTGACACACAGACTCCACTCACTCAAGGTGTACGAACATATCGCGTTTGGAGAGGAGGGAGCAGCTGCTCCATCACCCTCTTCAAGCTCCTGACACTGACTTCATCAGCACCAAGAAGAGCTGGGGGGGCACCTGGGTGGCTCAGTGGGTTAAAGCCTCTGCCTTCAGCTCAGGTCATGATCCCAGGGTCCTGGGATCGAGCCCCACATCGGGCTTTCTGCTCAGTGGGGAGCCTGCTTCCTCCTCTATCTCTCTGTCTGCCTCTCTGCCTACTTGTGGTCTCTGTCAAATAAATAAATAAAATCTTTAAAAAAAAAAAAAAGAAGAGTTGGACCCATCAGAACTGCAGGAGGCCAGTGTTGCTTTACAGATTCTCGTGGCATCAAAATTCTGACAGTTCTTTGCTACTGTGACAGTTTCTGTGCACTATCGAATTCACTACCCATGAGAACTGAGATCTGCGTTTCTTAAGGTTACCGTCCTAGTCAGGGTTAAACCAAGGAGCAAAGAAGCAATGATGCTGATATAAAATTCTTACTCTTGACTTTTATAGCCTACAAAGACCAGAAATTACTGCTCCGTCCCATATAACAATCTAATGGGAACAAGCCAGAAAAAAGGATTTCGTGAAGTATCTAAAAATCAACAGCTTTTTACCTAAAAGGCCATCAACATCAGAAGAACTTAAACATCTAGTGTTACAAGCTGCTACAACCTTTTTAGCCGGTGACAGACAGTATCTATTAAAATTTTAAATACATACCCTTTGACCCAATAGGTCTACTTCTGGGACTTTATCCTCTAACAATAAAAGCCACACTACATGAAGATACAGGACATAGAAGACATCAATTGCAGCAATTAATAATCCAGAAATGAAAGCAATATCCATCAACAAAATCCATCAACAGGGAAGTCACTGAATGAATTATATTCAATGAAATATTAGGCAGCTGTCAAAAAGGGTGCCATTTCTATGTACTGACCTGGAGACCAGTCCCTGATAAGCTACTACACAAAAAAATTATGTTGTAAAATTGCGTATCTTCATTGTTTTGTTAAAAAATCCTATATATGGGCATTGTGTATTAACATACATCTGTGTTCATGTGCTTAACAAAAGGGAAGAAAAGATTCCCACTAAACTCCTAAAACTGGTTACCTTACACACCCAGAAGGAATTGGGTTTCTTTACCATTCTCTCTCATTTGATGGAAGACAACCCACCTGCATTATTTGTATGTTAAAAATCTCATTAAACATTTAAAATAAAAAGCTATACTTTTGAATCATTCTTACCTTCCAGGGAAAGGTCAACTGTTTTAGTAAAACTTGGGGCAGTGCGTTTGAAGATCTTGGTTCTTTCTCCTCCCACAACCACCTCTGGTCCAAGCAGAGACACCAGCACTGCCAGGCTGTGAAGAGTAATGGCCACAATGGAATCGCTGGTATCACGCAAGCCCAGTAACACCTAGGAGCAAATCAGGTAGTAAGTGTACACAGCCACGTTGCCGGTCTTTCTCCCCATAAACGAGCAGCTGGGCTGCAGTCAGACTAGCTCAGATGTCTTTGTTTCTTACATCGGTGTCCGAGGTCAGTAGCTCTCAAACTGTCTGTGGTTAAGAACCAGTATTTTCCCCTCCTAAAAAACCACGGACTGATACATTGTTAAAAATACAACAACAAAAATAAATACATTGGAAATAACAAAATTACTGTTAAGCTACTATAAAAGGTTCTAGACTTGTCCAGGATACGGGTCAGCTCCTGCTCCAGGACCAAAGGCAGCTGGGCACTCCAGAGATCTCAGCTCTTAAGCCAGCAGCACTGAGTATTCCGAGGAGACCGCCCAGCAACGACTCATGGGGACTGACCCTGCTTCGTGTCAGATCAGCCGAGAAAGGGTTCAGGGTAGTATAGCTGTAGAGGACTCTCCAAATTCTTGAAGAATCGAAGTACTCCAATCAAAAGACAGAGTGACAAGAGCCTATACCTGTGGCAAACAGGCTAACTGCAGACATGTAGTCTGACCACTGGCCCTAACTACCAGTGAGCCCACAGCAGATTCAGGCCTCTCAACAGTGCAGGGACCTAACACTGCCCAATGTGCCCACAGCAGTCAGTGTGTCCCTGGAGCGGCCTGCGCTAAAGGCAAACGTGGCTCAGCCAGAACAGCAGGGTACACAAAGCACACATGGGAGACACCCCTGGAGTGCCTGCTACGGACGACCTGGCAGGGAAGGCACTGCAGGGCACCACAGGACCTCTTCCACACAAGGCCACTACCTTCAAGATGTAGCTGACTTCCCTGATACATAGAAACAAACAGAGACAAAATGAAGAGCAAAGGATTATGCCCCAAATGAAACAACAAAAGAGCTAAGTGAAGTGGAGATAAGCAGAATGCCTTATTTGAAGCAATTGTCATAAAGATACTCACTGGACTTGAGAAAAGAATGGATGAACTCAGAATTTCAACAAAGGTAGAAAATACAAAAAAGAATCCATCATAGATGAATAATCCAATAACTGAAATAAAAAATACACTATCATGGGATGCCTGGGTGGCTCAGTTGGTTGGACGACTGCCTTCGGCTCGGGTCATGATCCCGGGGTCCTGGGATCGAGTCCCACATCGGGCTCCCAGCTCCATGGGGAGTCTGCTTCTCCCTCTGACCTCGCTCATGCTCTCTCTCACTGTCTCTCTCAAATAAATAAATAAAATCTTTAAAAAAAAAAATACACTATCAGAGATATCAGTTGATTAGCAGATGCAAAAGAATGGATCAGCGATCTGGAAGACACGGTAATGGAAAGCACCCAAACTGAAAAGCAGAAAGAAAAAATAAAAATGAGAACAAGTTAAAGGAATTGAGTGACATCATCAACACAGTAACACTAGCATTAAGGGAATCCCAGGAGGGGAGAAAAGGAAGCAGAAAACATGTTAAGAAATAACAGATGAAGACATCCCTAATCTGGGGAAGGAAACAGATAGCCTGATCCAAGAAGCAAACAAGACCCTTAACAAGATTAACCTAAGAAGGTCCATGCCAAGACACATTATAATTAAAGTGACAAAAAGTAATGATCAAGAGAAAATTTTAAAAGCAGCAAAAAGCAAACAGTCAAGTAAAACCCTGTAAGGCTATGAGCTGATTTTTCAGCAGAAACTCTGCAGGCCAGGGAGAATGGCGTGACATTCCAAATACTGAAAGGAAAGCCCTACAACCAAGAATAATCAACCCAGCAAGGTTATCTTCCAGAATAGGAGAGAGAGAGAGTTTCCCAGACAAAAGTTAAAGGAGTTCATTACTACTAAACTGGCCTTACAAGAAACATTAAAAGGAATTATCTGAGGGGCGCCTGGGTGGCTCGGTTGGGAGTCTGGCTTCGGCTTAGGTCATGATCTCTGGGTCCTGCGATCCAGCTCCGCATTGGGCTCCCTGCTCAGTGGGGAGTCTGCTGCTCTCTCTCCCTCTCCCTCTGTGTGTATGTCCTCTCGCTCTCTCTCTCAAATAAATAAAATCTAAAAAAAAAAAAAAAAAGAATTATTTGAGTGGAAATAAAAGGACATAATCTACAGTAAGAAAATAATGAAAGGAAAAAATTTCACAGGTAAAAGCAAACATGTAGCAAAGGCAGTAGACTAATCACTTTTAGAGCCAATGCAGAAGTTAAAACACAAAAGTAAAATCAATTATGATCTACAAAAATCAGCCAAGGAACACATAAAAAAAGATGTAAAATATGACCTCGTACACATAAAAGGGAAGTAAAAACTAAGTTCAAACATGTTCTAAAGAAAGTACTGAAGTGACCATCAACTTAATAGAGACTGCTATACACTAAGATTTTTTACCTGGGCCAGTGGTAACCACAAATCAAGCACTTGTAATAGCGACAGAAAAAGTAAGAGAAAGGAATCCAAGCACAACACTAGAAAACAAACCGCAAGAGAAGAGACCAAGAAAAGAAAGGAATGGAGAAGAACTAGAAAAACAACAAGAAAATAATTTTAAAATGACAGTGAGTACACATCTATAAACATACTTTAGATATGCACAGACTAAATGCTCTCATCAAAAGGCCCAGGGTGACTAAATCGATAAAAAACAAGATCCCTCAATGTGCAGCCCACAAGAGACTCACTCAGACCTAGAGACACGTACAAACTGAAAGGGAGGGACCAAAAAAGATATTCCTTGGAAATGGAAGTGAAGAAAAGCTGAGGTAGCAACAGTTTGTATCAGATAAAACTGAGCAGGAGACAAAGAGGGGGACAACATAATGACAAAGGGATCAATCCAACAAGAGAACATAAGATTTATAAATATCTATACACCGACCATATAAGCAGCTACAGACACAGAGCAAATATTAACAGACATAGAGAAACTGAGTGACAGTAACTGTAGATGACTTCAACATCCCACCTACCCAGATGTAAAATCAACAAGGGAACAGTGGCTTTGAATGACAAGAGGGACCTAACAGATACATACAGAACAGTCCTTCCAAAAACAGCAAAATACACTGTCTTTTCAGGTGCACATGGGATATCTTCCAGGACAGATCACATGTTAGGCCGCAAACCAAGTCTCAATAAATTTAGAAGACTGAAACCATATCAAGCACCTTTACCAATCACAGTGGTACAAAACTAGAAATCAATTACAAGAAGAAAACCAGGAAATTCGCAAATACATAGAGTTTAAACATGCCACTGAACAACCCATGGGTCAAAGAAGAAATCAAAGGAGAAAACAAAAAACCTTATGAGATAAATGAAAATGGAAAACAACATACCAAAATTTATGCAATGCAGCCAAAGCAGTTTTAGGAGGAGAATTTACTGTGATAAACGCCTACCTCACGAAACAAACAAAATCTCAAACATTAACTCTATACCTCAAAGAACTAGAAAAAAAATGTGAAAAAATAAATGAAAATGAAAAAGGAAACAAAAATTTCAGAACTAAGCTGGTTCTTTGAAAAGATAAACAAAATGAACAAATCTCAGCTGAACACATCAAGAAAAAAAGGACACAAAACCAGAAATGGAAGAGATGTTACAACTGATACCACAGAAATACAAAGGATCATAAGAGACTACTTATGAATAATTAGAGGCCAACAAATTAGGCAAATAGAAGAAATGGATAAATTGCTAGAAATACACAACCTACTAAGACTGAATATAAAGGAACAGAAAATCTGAACAGGCTGATTTTTGGTAAGGAGACCACATCATCCAAAAACTCCCGAAGAACAGAAGTTCAGGACCAGATGGTTTCACCAGTGAGTTACACCGAACACTCAGAGAAGAAATAATACCAAACACTAAATTGAAAAGATGTCTGCACACCGTGCTTCCTGCAATGCTATTTATAATAGTCAAGACAGGGAACAACCTGTGTCCATCAACAGACAAATGATAAGAAAGATGCGGTGTATAGGACGCCTACTCAGCCATGACAGAAGAGGAGATCATGCCATTTGAGACAACATGGATGGACCTAGAGGGGGTTATGCTAAGGGAAGTGAGGCAGACTAAGAAAGCCTAACCCCATACGGATTTCATTCAGCAGGAGCCTGCTGCTCCCTCTCCCTCCTGCTCCCCCTGCTTGAACTCTCTGTCAAATAAATAAAATCTTTAAAAATAAATGAAATAAATAAAAAACAAAACACACACACAAATGAATAAACAAACAAAAAGCAGAATCAGACCTGTAAATACAGAGAACTGATGGTTGCCAGGGGGAGGGAGAACAAGGGTTGAGGACAATGGGGGAAGAGGAGGGGGAGACAGGCTTCCGGTCACGGCCTGAGTAAGTCCCAGAAAGCACGCTAGAGCGGCAGTACAGTGACGTGGCTGCGGCGACGTGACAGGACAAATGAGCTGTCGCCTCACACCTATTGGACTGGCTTCCGTCACAAAGACAAGCAGTAACAAGGACATGAGCACGTGGAGAAGAGGGAATGCTGGTGCACCACCGCTCGAGGGGAAACTGGTTCAGCTACTGTGGAAAAGCAGGGAGGTTCCTCAAAAAGTCAGGAAAAAAAAAAAAAAAAAGAATTACCCTAAGATCCACCAATTCCACTTCTGGGAATTTATCCAAGGAAAGCACTAATTTACACGTAGCACACGCCCCTGCTCACTGCAGCATTACTTATAGCACCGGAGCTATGGTCACCAAGTGTCCATCGACGGACGGAGGAATAAGGCAAATGTGATTTTACACATGCGCGCGCACGCACACACACGAACGTCACTGAGCCATGTAAGAGATGAAACCTTGCCATCTGCGACAACCTGGATCGACTCTCAGAGCATCGTGCTGAGTGAAGTGAGAGACAAACACTGTATGATCTCACTTATGCGAGGTATCTAAAAAAAACCAAAACGGGCTCCAAGCTGGCTCAGTGAGTGGAGCGTGCGACTCCTGACCTCAGGGCTGTGGGTGCGATCACTATGCTGGGCGTGGAGATTACTTAATAAAGATTGTATTTATACATCTGAGAGACAGCGAGCAGGAGAGGCAGGGAGAGGGAGAAGCAGACTCCCTGCTAAGCAGGGGGCCCAACGCAGGGCTCAATCCCAGGGGCCTGAAATGAGGACCTGAGCAGAAGGCAGACGCTTAACCATCTGAGCCACCCAGGTGCCCCCCCCCGCCAAAACTAAAATATCTTTAAAAATGAAAATAACAAAACAAGCTCATAGAGAAAACAGACTGATGGTACCAGAGATGGGAAAGAGGATGGTGAGGAGGGGCCAAAAGGTACAAATTTCCAGTTATAAAATAAGTCAGTCAGGGGTCCCTGGGTGACTCAGTCGGTCAAGTGTCTGACTCTTGGTTTCGGCTCAGGTCATGATCTCAGGGTCATGAGATCCATCCCCGGGTCAGGCTCCAGGCTCAGCACAGGGTCTGCTAAAGTTTCTCTCTCCCTCTGCCCCTCCTTGCACTCACTCTCTTTCTCTCAAATAAATCTAAAAAACAAAAGATCATGGGGATGTAACATACAGCATAGTGACTATCACTAATACTATTTTTTTAAAATTTTTTTTTCTTTTCAGCGTAACAGTATTCATTGTTTTTGTACCACACCCAGTGCTCCATGCAATCCGTGCCCTCTCCAATACCCACCACCTGGTTCCCCCGACCTCCCACCCCCCGCCCCTTCAAAACCCTCAGGTTGTTTTTCAGAGTCCATAGTCTCTCATGGTTCACCTCCCCTTCCAATTTCCCTCAACTCCCTTCTTCACTAATACTATTTTATTGCATAAAGTTGCTAAGAACATAAATCTTACAAGTTCTCATCAAAGGAAGAAGAATTCAGTAAACTACATATGGTTACAGACGAACAAGTCTCATTGTGGTGACTGTTTCACAATATACACAACTACTGAATCATGTGGTGCACCTGAAACTAAGAGCTTATATGTTTATTATATCTCAATTAAAAACCCGTTATACATGTTCACTCTCCTTATCTGTACGTATGTCACTACAGGACCAGAAATACAGTTGAGAGACCATACTTAGAACCCCTTGTCTACATCCCTCGTGCTTATGTCCCCAGCCCCTGCCCCTCTTCCCAGCTTTACACACACAAAGGACAGGACTTGGAAAACTTGTCTTTACATCTGATGCACAGAACACCTGCCCTAAACGGAGCCAGCTATGACCTCCGTCCGGCACGAACTGTAATGTGGAGAGACCAGTTAGCGCTGTGGCTTGCTGAAAGGAGGATAATAAACTGGGAAACTACAGGGACAACCATGCTGGCGACGTGTACATTGAACACTGAAAGCCCGTCTTCGGGAAGTCAAAGTGGGACAGATAAACGGAGAAAGGAAAGAATTGAAGACCGTCTGGCTGAGTCCCAGCGGCGCATGGTCTCCACGTAAGGCAGTCTGACATCCTTCTAGCCAAGTCTCTTTTGGCTTTAGCTCGTCTGAGCGGGTTTCGGTTACTTGCAACTGGAAGAAACTACTAAGACAGTCACATGCAGCCCTCAGGAGACGCTTTGCTCTGAACCAGCAAAGTCATGTGTGCGGGGGGCAAAGCCACCCGCGCCAGCCAGATTCAGGCCCAGGGTAACCTGGGTAACCAGGCCTCCCCAGGGGTAACAGCACGGCCTCCTGGGTGCCAGGAACTCTGGGTTCTGGTCCCAGCTCCTCTAGGAATTTTCATTATGACTTGACCCATCATTTAATTTTCTGGTCTGGTTTCCTCACTTATCTAAGATCAAGATTTCCAACAAGACTCAGTAAGAGAACATCAGGCCCAATGCTCACGAATCAGACACAGTCTCAAAACAAAGCTGTACAAGTAAGCTACAGTGTGTCTCTTTTGCAAATGATTAGAATTCCAACTGCTACGGCAATCGGCAATCGTAACACAACAATCCTCCCAGGCCACAAATCCGAGAGTCCTCCTCAAACCTCGCCTCCCCTGAGCAGCTGAGTCCCGCCCGCCCACCACCCGCATCTGCCCCGGACTCTCTTCGCCTTCTCCTCGCTGGACTAACAGCTTCCCACCTGACCTCCTTTTCTATACTCCACCTTCCACACTGTTACCAAAGTGAGCTTCCCAGCGCATAAATACTGGCCAAGTGGGGCGCCTGGTGGCTCAGTCAGGCGCACATCGGACTCTTGGTTTTGGCTCTGGTCATGTTCCCGCAGCTGCGCGATGGAGCCCCGCGTCGTGCTCCGTGCGCTCAGTGCGGAGTTGGCTTCGGAGTCTTTCTCCCTGTCCCACCCCACTCGCACCCGCGTGCTCTAAAATAACAGAATATACTTTTTCAAAAATTGGCCAAGTCATTCCCCTACAGAGGAGGCCTTCACTGTCTGCACACGCTGAGCACAGACTCAGTCTTTGAGCTCGGCTCAGAGCCAACTCTGAGACGTAGAACTGCATTTCGGAGACAGAGTGCTCTGTCCCTCTTTGGCATTTTCAGACACGATGACACCAGGGTAGCAGCGACTGCTGCACATGGAAACACAACGTGTGGCGTGGTGGCCACCTGGCCCTAAAGCCAGCCCTCCCAGCGTGGTCCCCAGTGGCGGTGTGCTGTCAGCCAGCACCTGCCAAACCTGGGCTGACTCGCACAACCCACTGGAACCAGGAGAATGGAACAGAAGTGACACTGTCCATTCCTAACCTGTGCCTCGGGAGAGCTGCCCTGGCGCTTCTGGTAACCCAGGGCAGCCACGTAAGAAGTCCACGGACGCTGTCAGAGATGTGGCGAAGGGGAACAGAGGCCCTGCCACATCCCAAGACTACATGGAAAGAGAGGCCCCGCTAAGTCCAGCCTTTCAGCCATCCCTTCCGTGGTGCTAGGGGACTGCTTGTCAGCTGACCTCACGTGCGACATAATCCCCAAACTGAGCCCGTCAATCCAAAGAACTGTGAGGCCAAATGGCTACTGATTTAAGGCACTAAGTTTTGGGGCGCCCCAGCAACAGATAACAAACACCTCTGTGTCCCACCCCCTAGCTCCTTGAAAGCAAAGTGTTATACACCTCTACAGCCCCAGGACCTAAGACCTGGCATAAAAACAGGCCTTAGGAATCATTTGCAAATACATTAATCTCATAGGAAAATAAATTATTTTAAAGTTCCTATATGGCTGACAAAATCTTTTAAAACCTTGTACTGAGCTGAATATTGTCTCCTAAATATTCACGTGCACCCAAAATGTGACCTTAAAATGATGTTGCACTGGTTAGAGTGGGTCCTAAATCCAATGACCTGGATCTTTTCAAAAAGGTCAAGTGAAGGGACACCCGGGTAGCTCAGTGGGTTAAGCTTCTGCCTTCAGCTCAGGTCATGATCCCAGGGTCCTGGGATGGAGCCCCGCACTGGGCTCCCTGCTTGGCAGGGAGCCTGCTTCTCCCTCTGCTGGCCGCTCCCCCTGCTTATGCGCGCTCTCTCTCTCTCTGGCAAACAAAATCTTTAAAAAAAAAAAAAAAAAAAGGCCAAGTGAAGACACGGGAAAAGGACAACCGAGGCAGACTGGCGCGACACAGTTCCAAGCCGAGACACACCAAGGACCGCCAGGAGCTACCAGGAAGCGGGGCAGCTGGCATGGAAAGCTTCTCCCCTAGAGCTTTCAGAGGAAGCATGGACCCGCAGACACCATGATCTCAGACTTCTGGCCTCCAGAACCGGAAGAGAACAGATTTCTATTGTGGTATTTGCTCTCTGAGCCCCAGCGCCACCAGCATAAACCTGAGCCCCGGGTGAGGGGTTATTACCAGGTCCCAGTGGCTGATAAACCGGCCGGAAGGCTCGGGTCCGAGTCATCTCACGTTCCTCTCCGTGATGACTTAATTATTTTATGGTATTTAATTACAGACACTTAATAGTGTCTGTCACAAAGCATCCACAAAGGATTCCTATTCCTTTTCCCCAAAGAATTAGCAAGCACAATCAGTTTTCCCAGGTTAAGACCAAATACGCTAATTTAGTCCACATGCCTGTGTAAGCAGAGTGGAAATGTGACTCGTCTCAGCCCCTGCTACCCCCGCGGCTTTCACGCCCGACGCCGCTTCCAGCCTTCCGAGCCAGGGTCTTCGAGCTCCAGGGCCTCTGCCTCCCCCCGAGCCCCGGCCGCGCCCTCCGCACGGAGCACCTCTGACCTGCGGCAGGATGACTTTCTTCAGCTGCTCCTGGGTGAAGTGCCCCACATAGGCCTCCAGGTGGGACAGCAGCACCATCCGCACGTGCTCCTCGTGCACCTCGAACAGCCGCAGCAGCACTGGGATCACCCGCGACTGGAACAGGGCCGGCGACAGCAGACAAGGCGGCTCCCCCGGCGCACTGTCTACCCCCCGTCAGAGGCAGTTACAGAGAAAAAGGCAAACTGTCACTTCCGGGAAAGGAGCACACAAAGAATTTACAAACCAAGCCCAGGAGTCGCCGCACATTCTCAGTCCTCTTCCGAAGGAATTCTCAGGCCCAAACCAAAGGAAACCTTTTTGGTTGCCCCAAATCACTCACGGCTCAGTTTTCTCAAACACACTGTACTTGTAGAAATATTTTTGAGATACAGGATCAGACTCAATTGAACAAAGCAAGCCTGTATTTTCATTGACTCCTTAATCAGTAACTCTGTACACGCTGGTTAATCACGGGAATTTCATACACTAGATCAGATCGATAGGGCTGCTTCACTGTGACCTGCCCAACCAGGAGGTGGCAAATGTCCCAGTGGGACTTGATGCTGGGGGTCCTCCCCTCCTGCTAGTTACGGCAGTGGTTACCAGAGACACCCCACCGTCATTCGGGGACCGTTACGAACAAGGATCGACAGTCCTGCAGGCCCATTTGTAAAAGGCTCCCCAGGTGACTCAGAAGCACACCCTGCTGCGTGTTCGACCGAGCAAGAGAACCACAGAGCTACAAAGAAAAAACTCAGGGAATGACAAAGCATATAAGGAAATTCTATATTGTAAGAGTTACTTATAATGCTGCTTTGCTGGATCGAGATCTTTTAAGAAAAGAGATTCTGAAAGCAGAATTCTGCCTAACACGGAATTCTACAGAGCGACGTTAATGCTCTGCTCTCTAACCTGGTACGCTGCCGTCCGCGGTGCTTACCAAGCTACGGAGGGTCCGAACAACACCCTCATTTCACACTCAGAAAAAGAGAAATTCCAAGTAGGAAAGTTACTTCCAGGCTTTCCAGTCTTTCTACTGGAAACACAAACTAAATGGGTTGCTCTTGGGGAGTCAGAAGGCACAGACCTCACTGCAAATACAAAGTCCCGTGAAGACGGAGCCTTCTCCTGACACTCCATATGCGTCTCCTCTTCCAGCCATACGCGTGCGGGGACTCGTTTCCCACGTGCCAGCCTTCCCCGGAAGACCTGACTCTCCAGGGGAGGCTCCTTATCAAGCCAGTGGGCTCCGGAAGCCCGCTCTGAGTCAGAATGGTCACTCGGGCCAACAACCGTTCTCAGAGACAGACCTAACCACCCCCGGCAGGACTCTCCCTCGGCTCAAACAAGGGCTCATCATGCCCAAACTCCTTAATGACCAATCATCCTTTGAAAAACATTCACCTTTTTTGGGGCCGAGCAGATGAGGAAGAAAACTCTTAACAGCGACAGGCTCCGCAAACACCAGCTGATTCAGCAGCAGCGGCACCAACCGCGAGGCTATCAGCTCCTCCGAGAGGCCGCTGACTCTGTCCAGCAGGAACCTGGGGGCAGAAAAGAGGAGCCTGGGAACCTGGGGGTGACACTTCAGACACAACCCTCTCCGACCTCGGCCCCGGGGTGTGTGTGGGGGGTGGGGGACACGGGGAATTGTGGCCGGGGAAGGTGAACGGGTGCTGACAAGGATTTTAGGAAAAATGCAGTAGGTGCGAGACAAGGCCACCGGCACGCAGACAAGCTCCGACCCGAGCTAGGGAAGGAGTCACCAAACTGCCCCGTGTTTACGGCGCCAGGGTCCTCTTCCCCAGTAAGCCAGGAGCTTCCCAGCCAATTAAAATGACTTTCTGCACATTTAAAAAATGTAGGATATTAAATTGTCTCGAGTTTCCACAATAAATAAAAATACAAGCTTTTGTTACTAAACTTCCTAAAATAACATACGTAAGAGCACTCTGTGAAAAACACACACGTGTCCCGGGCCCCTGGTGGCTCATCAGGTCAGCAGCTGATTCCTGACTTCGGCTCAGGTCACCCTCTGGGGGTCGTGGGACTGATCCCCGTGTTGGGCTCCAGACTTGGGGACGGGGGTCTGCTAGGGATTCTCCCTCTCTCCCTCTGCCCCAAGCCCTGCTCTCTCTCTCAAGTAAGTCAATCTTTAAAACAAGGGGAAAAAAAAAAAGACACAGGCATTAGGAAGTCATGGTGGCAAGCTCCCCCTACAGCGTCGCCGGTGGCAGACTGTGCCTCTCACTGCCCCCAACTGCTGTCACCCCGCAGCCCGGCCTCCTCGGGACCGCAGCCTGGACGGCACCCCACTCCGCTCCCCGAGCCCTGCTCCCCCAGCCGAAACACCGGCTCGCATCTCTTCCATTCTGAACACGTCCCTCCCGTGTCCACTGCCTTCTCCGGCTACTGTGTGCTCTCTCTTCTCGGAAGTTCTTGTCTCGGGAGGTTCTACTCAGAGTCCACTCCCTCGCTCCCGCCCCTTCGGAGCTCACCTGCGGCCTGGCTCCCCTACTCCCAGCAGCTCCTCCTCAGCTGAGGCCGCCGGTGCCCCGATTCCTCAGGGACAGGGATTCCTTCCACCTTCCCTCATGTGCCTCTGCCGGGAACACCGGGCCTGCGCACATTCTCTGGCCCTCCTGTCCCCGTCACTGCTTTGTCGCACTCGTCAGCCGCCCCCTTATGAGGCTGGGTGGCTGCCCCTGCGTTACAGTTTGGGCGCTGGGTGTCTCCCAAGCCTCTACTTTCTCTGCAGGCCGCGGCGCCCTAGTCCTCACTGCTGGCTCCGCGGCCGCCGCCATCTCTCCGGGGCTGGTGTGGCCAGGTGCCCACGCACCTCTGCCCACAGCCCCCCCACACACTGCGCAGGGACCCCTGACCCCACACTGCTCATGTGCCCAGCGGCTGGGGCCTCCCTGCGGGATTCTCTTATGCTCTTGGGGATCACCACTAAGGGCTTGCCAATCTGATGGCGGAAGGCCCCCTTCTCTGTGCCTTCAACGTACCCCTGGAGCCTGCCACGGGCTACAGACTGATCCAAGCCCCTGGAAGAACTCGGGCTGTGCCCTCCACAGACACCGGAGCGGTCCGCTCCGGGAGAGGTGACTGTCTCACGGCCGCTTTCACGGCTTTGATGCCTGAAGCCCGCTGCTTACCGACAGTGTCACTGGTCCTCACCGCCCCCCAACTCCGGGAGGGTGCCCATCTCTCACTCACCCCTGCCTGGGGGTCTGCGCTCCGACAGGACCCAGCTGCTGGTGGTGCCATGCTTGGCTCGCACCGCGCCCTGCCTCTGTGCATTAGTTCACGCTGTCCTGGGGCCCACACCACCTCCTCTCTGACCACCGCCGCCCTCCCCTCTGGGGTCTCAGGACGCCCCCCACAAGCTCATCACTGTTTCCCCCACCAGAACCAACCGTCCATCCCAGGGCCTACCAGAAGGCCAACACAAAGGATGTCCAACAAGCTCGGTCCGAGAAAGTAAGCGTGGACTCATCTCTCCAGAACACCCCAAGTGATTATATGGACTTAATCCAAGTTACTGAATTATAAGCCCTTCACTTTCTGAACTTACTTGAAAAATTCCGTTTTCTCCTCTTCACTCTTCAATGTTAAACTTTTCAAGAAATTCACAACTTCTAGAAAATCATTCCTAAATGCCGAAGAGGAAAAAAAAATGTGCAGGACAATAGGTTAGAGAAGGCATGTTAAATACTGAAGCCATAACCACAGATCACACTACGCTAAGGGCCAAGGAAGCATTCTCCTGTGCCACTTCGAGGACAAGCAGTCATGAGACATGTGCCATGAACCAGCCGTGGAGAATCCAGCATTTTAGGAGCAGCAAAGAGATCTGTGAAGAGGATACGCGCTTCAGCGCACACGGTGCGCAAACACACCCTCACAGACCCGGTGGTTTGAGTGGTCAGAGGCATCTGAGCTTCTGCTGCGGCAGGATGTGGTGACATGAACTGTCCTGAGAGCAATGGTATTGGGTGACCAAGCACCACCAACAGTGGTCGGATCTCCAGTCTGCTCTGGGGCAGGAAGAACTCTGAGAGGCTTGGGCAAATAGGCATCTCTCGTGCCAGTCACAGGAATCTTCCCACTGCTCCTGCCCGGAGCAGGGAGGAAGGTGAGGGGTCAGTAGGCGCACACTGCTCAGCCCCAGGGCAGCGCTGCTCCTGTCCTCCCATCCTACAGGACGGGGCTTCAGGCCCATCCGCACACAGCCCTGCCAGCATGGCCGGCCCCCCGTATCTCCACATCTTACGTCAACACCCCTTTCCCTCTGGCTCAGTAGCAGAGAAAAGCACAAATGTCTTTCTAATCCAGTGGGCTCCCACGTAACCAGCAGGCTTCAGGAAGAGGGAGCCTGTGTGGGTTTTGGCTTTCTCTCCCCTCTCTGCTTCAAATACAATTCTTACTAATGACTCTTACCACCAGTGATGAGATAATCTACTTGCTGTAAAGGGCGGTCCTTTGTAGAGATCTTGTATCAAGGTAAATTAAATACTGGTATGAATTACACGAAAGGACACAGAAATGCCTCTCTTAAAAGACTCTTGTAACGAGAAAGGTTTTGAATAGTTTCTTTGAAATGTAAACAATAAATAAAATTCTAACAACTAGAGTGACACTACCTCTCTGCCCTGTTAAATAACACAGCCCGAGTCCTACCCGAGAGGTCCGTGCGCCCCTCCCAGGATAACGTTAGCTTTCGATCCGCTCTGGTTTTCCCGGGGCTCTCCAACTGCACACTAGGGTCTTCGGTTTCAAAACAACATGAGAGAGATTTTGCTAATAAAAGTTGCGACTTTGGGCGGTGGAAAGGAAGAGGAGGAGGACACACAGTTACAACTGACCTTGAAGAGAGGTTCAAAACCATCTCTGAGTCCAGCGACAGGGCTACCACTCTAGCGCGCCCCCCTCTATCTGCGCCTCTTCCACCGTGTTACTAAACCGAGAAGACAATCTTCTGCCTGAAGAGAAACAAGCTCCTCTCCCCCAACAAGAAAAAATTTCAATAGTAACAAATTCTTATCAACAACAGGATGGCGGCAGAGAGTCAGCTCCCTGATGGCTGCCAACGGCGGACACAGCCTCGCCTCTGCATCGACCCAAGTCCTAAGGGCCCTGGGCTGTGGCCTCCAGACTCCAGCCTTGGCCAGTTAAAAATTTCTCAGACTTCCTGTGGTAAGACCCAGAGACACAGCGCACCCCTGCCCTCTGCTGCCCCACATGGATGCGATCGAAGCTCTCCTGACCGCGAGCGGCGAGCACAGGCCAGAGCGCGCGCCCGGGGCCGCCACACCGCACGGCCGGACGCGGGGTCCGAGAGCAGGCCGGCGGCGGGGACAGCCTGCAGAGCCCGCCAGGCGCCCTCACCTGAAGAAGTCATGGGACAGTAAGGTGCGGAGCGCTGGCCGACATTTTGGAAGGGGATTCAGCAAGGCTGAGTGCAAGGTCTGTTGCAAACTGGAGAGAACGTCCGCTGAAACTGAAATCCAGAGCGACAGTTAGTTTCCAATGCCTTCTCCCTCCTTCCAGGACCTCTATAGCTGGAGACTGACGAGAGCAAAAACCAACCTGTAAAAGCCCAAACAAACAAAGGCCTGGCTGTTGCCAAACAGCTTCCTGCTCGCCTGAAGCCAGACTCGGTGGCCGGAGCAGAAAACGCAGCTGCCCATGCAGCCAACGCCCCCCCCGCCGCCCCGGGCCTTGCCGCGGAGCCCCTCACCTCCCGGCTGTCCTGTCTGGAGGACAAGCTCAGCCGCGGGAAGGCTGGAGAGGTGGCAGGTCCCCAGGCCTCTCCCACCAGGTTCCTCATCCCCAGAACACAGCAGGTTGCTGGGACGACTGTGTTTTCTAATCTCCCAAAGATGGCCCGTAATTACCACCAGTCCAGACTCAGTGGGGTAGTAAGTTTGGCCCCACGAGGGAGGCCTTAGGGCCCTAAGGGTGTAATTCTCAAGTATTTCTAGGCTGAGATGATTCCGAGCCAGCAGCTGAATGACGCTTGTGACTCCAGAACACTGCAGACACCGGCGGGGAGGAACCGCATCAGAGCTGCACCGAGCTCGGGCCGCGTGCGACCTGGCCAGCAGGGGCCTCCCGGGGCAGGCGCCCATCAGCAGGCTCCAAGCGGCCGCCGGAGTGCTCAAGAGAGAAGAACACAGCATGCTCAGGGGCCTGGGCTCTCCGGGGCCGCGAAAGAAAAGGCACTAAGTACATTATACCAAGAAGAAAAAAATCAAAAGGGCTCAGAAAGAATAAAGGGATGTTAAACTTTGGATTAATAAAAAATGTTGAATCCTCCTCTTTCCTTCAGGTCGCTCCACATCAGTCCGCACCAGCGCTCACTTCCGCGGCCGGCGGGTAAGGAATGCAGGCTTCAGCCCGCAAGGACCAATCCCAGTAAGTATCCCAAGAGTGACCGCAGATACCCAGAGTCAGAGCTGAAAGTGGCTCCTACTTAGAATGCTTTAAGTCTGCAAAGTAAAGAAATCAGAGCTTCCTTCAGCAGGGAAACTGCTGCTAAGATCTTCCCTAGACAGGTTATGTGGTGAGCAACAGGTTCCTTCCTGCGATCAAAGACCGCAGTGCTCTGAATCCACACGGAACAGGCTGTGAATGACCTTCCTACTTATTCTGTGGATGCAGCAGCACAACCCCGACTCACCCTGTCCGCTTAAGATTGTGCGCAAACTTTCCACCAGTGTCCCAAACGCATAGGCGTCCCGGGCATGTCCGTGTGACTCGGGCAGGGTCGTGAATTCTGGAGACTGAAAGCAGCAAAGATGATTAAAACCAGAGAATCTGCCTTACACACCGGATCTCAGTTTTCTCTGAGGTCCTCTCCCATATATGCTTTATGACACTCCAAACTAACCTCACGGTACCAGCCACAATCCTGTAGGCTTCTACAGGATGAGGGGAAGGAATTTATCAAAGACTTAAAAGTATCAAACAAGGGCAAAAAGAAAACAAAAGGGCTAAACAGGATATGTCTGTGGCTTTCAAAAATATTTCTGACTGCAACCCAGATTTTTTAAATTTTTATTATCATTACCGTTAGCGGCAGCAGTACAAACACGTAAGTATAAATACACACGCAATGGAAATAAAAGTTTCATAAAACAATACTCAGCCTCACTACCTACAGAACTTAATGAGATTTTCTATTTTACTCCTTTTTCTCAAAGCTTGTCAGAACCTCTAACTTGATTTAAAACCCAAAAATCAGTCTGAAAAACACTAGTACATACACACGGTACCGGTCTGGATCAACAGGGCTTATTTCGTTAAATGTGTCTCTGGGGATCACTGTCTGTTTACAGTAGTTACGAAAACAAATTTAGAGGAAGCAACTTCCTCACATTTACTGGTAAATACAATCTTTCTTCACCAGCAGCTAGTGGTGAAGACAAGAAACAGAATAGAAAGGTTCATCGACTTGGCAGGGAAATCTGTAGAGGGAACCTTCGTCACACAAGATTATTAATGCCAATAATCACTCTGCTGTGTCTCGGGGAGTCCCAGCTCATAACCAACAGGCTGATGTGTGGCTTGGGGGAAGCGCAGGAAGGGCTGGGGCGCTGCGTCCCCAGCTCTTCGGGCTTCCAGCAACATACAAAGACCATGAAGCGGGGACAAAGCACCGGCCCTCTCTCTTTACACGGTAGCACAGGTGTCCGTACCTCCAAAAATGGAAGCAGACTGTCAAGAAAATGGCTCCCTGCTGTGGTGATGAGATTAGTCTGAGAAGCTGTCATGGCCAAAGGCATTAGGAGGCATTCACGACTTGGCCAAGAAAGAGGGGGCAGGTGAAAGGTTATGTTTCATACTCAGTTACCCAGAGAAGCCTTCGTTACAGCTGAAGCGTATCATCTTACCATCTCTTCAGGAGGGATAGATGCTGGGTCTCTGACTGACTGAATACTCCTCAGAAACTAGAGAAATAAGGAAAATAATTCATACATAGTTTGGTGAACCAATCTCTTACACCAAGTTACAGAAGCAACCAGCAATGGAAACAGCAGCAATGACGCCTTCGTGCCAGTGCCGCATGTTAAACACACACATCTGAAATCTGCTAACTGAAACGTGAATACAGTACCTGGCACAGCGCGAGGCTCAAGAAAACACGGTTAGGTCCCTCGCCTCACCCCTGAGCCGGGCAGGCGCCCTCTGCTGTTCAGAGGCTTCTCTGCATCTCACTCCCTTGCACTAGTCATCGGGGATGCGTCTTTCTTACCCTGCCTACTTACTGACAAATAAAAGGCTTTTCTAGCATAGAACATAATCACTTGTTAATCTTCTGGCTGAGTCAAGTCAATCCTAAGGAAAAGTTGAGGACTTCATGAGCTACACAGATGATGTCCACAGAACAAGGACACTGATTCACTGATTCGAAGACTATTGCTCAAGAGCTTCTATGTCCCAAACACCACTCAAGGCACGAGAAATACAAAAGGAATATGACAAACTCCCTGGCCCAGCCAGGTGCTCACAACCGAGAATGTAAACTAGCAATCTGAGTGACATTCTGAGTGCCGTGGAAGCACAGGGGGAGGGGCAGATTTCACTGGAGAAGGAACACCCAGGGGAGGGCGCCACGAAGAGACTCAGCTAGACTGGAGACTTCTGGAGGATGTTCCATCCTCCAGAGAGCCCCGGGAATGAGGCGCCCAGCAACAGAATGGTGCGCAAGGGCAGAAGAGGTGCAGGATACCAGCCCTGAGAGAACACGGCGGGTGGCCAGAGTGCAGCTCAGTGACTGAAGTGGTACGTGAGGCTGAAGGGAGGCTGGGGAAGAGCCTGGAGGCCACGGTGAAGACTCTGGAACATGAGTCACAGGATGACTTATGTGCTGTTACATTAATTAGACGTAAGGTGAATTCTGAGAAGAAAGGGACTGACTGGGGCAGAAATATTATTAGAGGAGCACCTCTGTGGTGGAAGGAGCATTTGAACTGGGCAAGAGGCCACGAAGGTGCACATTTAACGTGGCTCACGTGTGGAAGCCCCACAAAAGAACAGGGAAACCAGACAGAGCCAGTAAGTCAGCGAGCCGCCATTTCCACAGGGCTGCCATGAGGGGCCTGGTTTGGTTTTGTTCTGTTTTTCAGAAAGAGCAAGCCTAGTGGCAACAGGTAAAATGGTGAAAACAAGAAACAAAACAAGAGAAAGGTTCATCAACTGAGGCGGGAAATTTGTAGATCCTGTCAGACAAACCATGAGAGGTACAGAGGCAGCGACAACACAGCCCGCCGGGAGGATTAAGATGCGCGGGTCTCGACTCCGGCTGGTAGGACACAGTGTGTGACTGTGGACACTGTGGATGGTTGTAAACGAACACTTGTTCCGTACCTAATGCACGCCAGGCACCACTCTGGGAGAGACTAAACCTAAGAGACTCTCACCCCCTCAAGAAGCTCAAACACTGGCAAAGAAAACAGACACACGAAGGTCATTTCAACACTCGACATTAGGTGATGTGATTAAGTGCAGGTACTCGAGGAGCAGCAGGCAAGAACATTCCATTAAAAAGCTGACCGAGCCAGTTTACCTCTCAGTCTCAGTTTCCTTAGCGACCAAATTGGGAGACAAGAAGGAGACGGGGGGCCCTCTGAAGAGTAAGGCCCAGCGTTCTGGGAACACGAGCACCGACAGTGAAGTCACATCCCCAGACCTACGCTCACCCTAGCGCTGCAGAAAGTCCCCAGGCAGGACCCACATACCAAAATGCTACTGAGTTCAGAGAGGCACTGAGGGCCCATCCCCTGGCTTACCTCGGGTGTGGCCTGAGGAACTTTGCAGACGGTTTCCATCCCTCCCAGCTTCCAGTGCCCATCCTCGCTCACAAACACAGAGGATGAGCAGACATTGTTGTGTGTTAGGTGTCCCTGGAGAAAAGAACAGAAGGAGGCTGCCACTAGAATTTCTGAAGCAGGAGTTTAAAAAAACTAAATACCGAACACCAGGAAGAGATACGGTGAGTCATCCCACTCGTGGTGTGATAAATGGAAGGACAACCGGAAGGAATGAGGGACGGGATAAGCCTGGCTCAGCCCCGTGAGGCCGGGGAGCACAAGACGGCCATGGAGGGCTCTTCCTCTGCTGCCCGTCCCTGCTTCCGCTGGCGTCAGGGGAACCGAGTTCCTCAAACATGAGGTCACACGTCTTTACAGCCTACATCGTTTGCTTCCGTCCTTTAACGATAAAGTTTACCTCTGCTCCCACAGGCTACTGTATTGTTTTTCTCCTCTAAGTTCTTTCTCACCTAAATTCTATCACAAACCCAGACCCACTTCACCTGAAATCTGTCAGCAGGCATTTAAAAATCCTGCTCAAAGAAGAGGAAAATGGAATTTTCCCCCACAGACCACAGAAGTGCCAAAATTTAAAACTATTTAAAAAAAACCAAACCAGCCAAATAAATGAGAAGAAGTAAATGAGAACAGGATAGAAGCGTATTTTGTTCCAAACCAAAAATCATTTCAGTAGACAAATGTATTTTAAATATTCTATTCACTAGGTCAAGTATGTGCAAATTTTGATAGGAAACACTCCAAGATACATATATATATATATTCTAAAGGAAGGTTCAGAACAGTGTGTACAGTATTTTTACATTTGAAAAAAACAAAGGAGAATAGGCACAGGGACACGTGGTTCATATGCACACTGACCCTCTCGGGACTGGGGATGATCACCGTGGGGGCTTCTGGACAGAGGTGAGGGGCTGCATGCAGGATGGGGGGCTTACTCTTCCCTGCATACTCTCCCACTATTCCAACTTTCTACCATGTGCATGTACCTTCTCCAACAAAAAAAATACTCCTTCATGTGAAGCACTAATAATTCTTCTTCTTTTTTTTTTTTTTTTTTTTAAAGATTTTTTTTATTTATTTGACAGAGAGAGATCACAAGTAGACAGAGAGGCAGGCAGAGAGAGAGAGAGAGGGAAGCAGGCTCCCTGCTGAGCAGAGAGCCCGATGCGGGACTCGATCCCAGGACCCCGAGATCATGACCTGAGCCGAAGGCAGCGGCTCAACCCACTGAGCCACCCAGGCGCCCACTAATAATTCTTCTTTATAGGAATCTTAGACATATATATATATTTTAAAGATTTTATTTATTTATTTGACAGAGATCACCTCAAACGTGAGGTCACACATCATGCCTCTCAAGCAGGCAGAGAGGCGGGCAGAGAGAGAGGAGGAAGAGGTCACAAGTAAGCAGAGAGGCAGGCTCTCCACAGAGCAGAGACCCCGATGCAGGGCTCGATCCCAGGACCCTGGGATCATGACCTGAGCCGAAGGCAGAGGCTTTAACCCACTGAGCCACCCAGGTGCCCTGTATCTTAGACATATTTTTAAGAGGTGATAAATCCAAGGTGATATCTGGAATCTGTCTCCAATTAACAGAAAAAGTTAAAAAAAAATACACTGAGATGAGTCAAAAGCAAGTGTTTCTAACAGGTGACTGGTAACTTTTCATCTCGGAGGACTGCCAAAGGCCTCAGTACTCAATGGAATGCAAATTCCATTAAGAAATCGCTCAACGGGGCGCCTGGGTGGCTCAGTGGGTTAAAGCCTCTGCCTTCGGCTCAGAGTCCTGGGATCGAGCCCCACATCAAGCTCTCTGCTTGGCAGGGAACCTGCTTCCTCCTCTCTCTCTCTGCCTGTCTCTCTGCCTACTTGTGATCTCTGTCAAATAAATAAAATCTTAAAAAAAAAATAAGCTCAATAATACTGTCTCAAAATAGACCAAAAGTAAACCTAAGACTACACGCTTATCCTCTTAAGAGCAAACCACAGTGTTAAGAGACTGTCTCCTCCGCCTTTGGCTCAGGTCGAGATCCTGGGATCCTGGGATGGAGTCCCCATGGAGCTTCCTTCTCCTCCCTCTCTCACTGCCCCCCTCCCCATGCTCGCTCTCGCTCCCTCAAATAAATAAATAACCTTAAAAAAAAAAAAAAAGAGTCCATCTCCAAGTAGACACCCACTCAAATGAGAACAGGTGTGTAAAGCTCTGCCTTTTCCTAAGAAATGGTCATTTCTTCCTTCAAAATCTAAAATGTCACAGAACTCTGGGGAACAAACAGGAACTCTGGTTTACAGCAACACTGATGTTAAGGCTTTCTCTTTTTCTTAAGAACAGTAATACCCGATGCAAGTGTTTTCAGGTAAAGATTTCCCCCAAACCAGAGGGAGGTGGTGGTAAACCAAAATAAAGTCCTATAAAAATAAAGTTCTATAAAAAACTGGCCAGAGAAGCCCTTGCCCACTGCACACACGACCTGTCTGGAGCCCTTCTCATGCCTTCCAATAAGCTCGTCTTCCACAGGAAGATTCACGTGAGAATTTCTGTTCCTCCCCTAACTTAGAAGCACTCCCACACACGCCATCCCTCCGGTCTGTGTCAAGGCCCCGGGCAGCCTGTGTCCACGGTACTTACTCTGTCGTGAAGGAAGATGAGAGCCAGCAGGATGTCGTAGATGCCGGCACAGACCTCGGCGGAAGACAGTGTTTCTAAAGCCACTTCCAGAGGCTGCACTCGCTCAGTGACTAGATGAATTCCATCTGCCTCCACAGTGCAAGATAAAAATCTCAGCAGGCAAGGGTGACGGAGTGTCTTCAAATGCTTTAAAGATACAAACGCAAGGAGTGGGAGAGTTAATGACTCAGAACCAGACTAACCGTAGTTTCTTATACATCGCGGTCCGAGTCAGAACATGGTTAGTTCCATTCAAGGTCCCTCCCAGCTCCCTACTTTCCTCACCTACCCCCCTAAATTTCAAACGAGGCACAGGAAAACCTGTGACCTGTTCTGACTTCATTCACTTTACCAACATTTAAACGATTCTACAGAGACTTCCGGTTCCCTTCCGACAGTGTAAGCCCCCAGGAGCCTGGGCCTCTCCATGACACTACCATACACTCTGAACAAAGTACCCCAACAGTGACCTGAGAGCTGGGCAAGGTAAACAAGAGCACGCAGACTACACACGGGAGTCAAGATTAGCAGAAGAGACCCCCGTGGGAGTAGGTGTCCGGGTTTAGGGCCGGCCCTTCTCACAGCTGTGTGCTGGAGGCAGGCCCCACTTGGAGGGCAGAGTAGCAGAGGGACTGAAACTCTGACCGAGACCTTGGCAACTTTCTGGCCAGAAGGAGGACAGACAGGAGTCCAGACAAGCCTGAGTATGAGGCTATTCCAGAGGGGAAGGAACTGGAGAAGGAGATGCTCTGGTTATCTATTATAACCACTCGGGTCTCAGACTAACTCCTGAATCAAGCACGGACAAAACAGACCCAAACCGGCGTAGCCAACTTTTGAGAAATGAACTGAGCCAACTTTTGAGAAATGAACTGAGGTTAGAACTACCACGCACAGAGAGGGTGCAGGAGAGCAGCTGGAAAACTTGAAGCCTGAACCAAAGAGGATGGACTGCTGAATCAAAAACCTCAGTAATCTCTAGAAAATTTTAACACAACCAAGAGTCAATGCAACATGACATTCAGAATGTGTGGGATGCAACCCAAAATGTTCCCACTCAACAAAGAACCATAAAAAAGTGAAAAGACAACCAAGAAATACCAACCCTGAGATGGCCCGGATAACAGAATTCTTAGGAAGAATATAAGGCCGCTTCCCCACTATGTTACAACCATTCTTCCCTAGAGGTAAAGGAAAACAGGAAATAAACAGAAGTTCTCAGCAGAGAAGGAAATGTTATTTAAAACAAGAGGAGTTTTAGGAAGGAAAAATAAAATATTAGAAACTAACCCAATGAATGGACTCAGTAACAAAACGCAGACTGATGTAGAGGCAAGAGTCAGTGAACCTATGCTAACTAGTCTGAAGAACAAAGAGAAAAATTTCTTTTTTCTTTTTTTTTAAATGATCACAGCATCAAGAAACTGTGACAATACTAAAGGTCTAACATACGTAACTGGAGTCCCAATAAAGAGAAGAAAAAAACTGACGCATAAAAAGTGTAATGGCCTGAGAACTTTCCAAATTCAGCCAAATACTTAAGTTTACAGATTTAAGAAGTTCAATAAACACCAAACAGGATAAATCAAAGAAAACTATATCACACACATTATCGTCAAACTGTAGAAAATGAGATAAATAAAAAAAATCTCAGAGGCAGCTAGAGAAAACCATTATTACGTGGAAGGGAATGACAATTTGAGTGATGCAAACTTCTCATCAGAAAACACAGAGGCCGGGGAGCCTGCGCAGCACAGTGGTTGGGCATCTGCCTTCCGCTTGCGTTGGGATCCTAGGGTCCTGGGATGGAGACTGCGGCGCGTCCTGGGATGGAGCCCCGCACCGGGCTCCCTGCTCAGTGAGAAGCCTGCTTCTCCCTCTCCCACTCCCCCTACTTGTGTTCCCTCTCTTGCTGTGTCTCTCTCTGTCAAATAATAAACAAAAATTAAAAGAAAAAAAAAGAAAAAAAGAAAACACAGAGGCCAAAAGACAAAGGGGAACACTTACTCTAAAGCACTGACAAAAAAACCAGTATCAACCCTGAATTATGTAGCAAAAATATCCTTCCGGAAAAAAAAAGTAAAATAAAGGCATTTCTGATGATGGAAAACAGAAAAGTTATTGCCAGAGGACCCACCCTAAAAAAAAAAAAAAAATAGAGGAAGTGACACCAAAGGGAAATGTGGATCTCCAGAACTGAAGGAAGAGCAGCAGAAATGGTATCAGGATGGGGTCCAAGGCCCCACGTCGGCCTCTTGGGTAAGATGTGCAGGACTGTGCGGAGCAGACACGACGCTGCTGGGTCAGGTTCTCCACGTGAGTGATACACAGGGAACCCCCGAACAACACAGTAGTTTAAACTGTGTCCATTTCTACGCAGACTTTTTCAACAAGCAGACTTTTTCAACAAACACTGCACGGTGCTGTACGAGGCTTTTCCTTACAACTTTCCCAGTTAACATGTGCTTTACCTTACCTTATTGTAAAAATACAGTATATAACATGTATCAAGTAAGATGTGTTACTGTTTATATTATCAGCAAGTCTTCCACTCTACAGTACCTTACTAGCAGTTAAATTTTGAGGGAGTCAGCCCAGTTGTGCGAGGCATCAGTACCTCTAACCCCAATTTAACCATGGGCCTGTGTGTGTACGGTGTTGATACATATGGAACAAAAGGACAGCAGGGTTGGGGCTGGAGACTTCTATCTGATTCCAAGCCTTCTATATTTTACGTGAATGGTACAATTCTAACCCCAGACAGATGATGATGAGCCAGTTATTAAACTGAAATCCTTAGGGCAACCATTAAAAAAAATATAAAGAAATGTAGCTGAGAAATCAAGATAAAATGAAATACTAAGGGCTATTTTAATAAACAACAAAAAAAAAAAAAAAAAAGAGAAGGGGAACAGAAGAACAAAATTCAAAAGGGGGCAAATATCCTCCCCTCTCTCTCCTGCCTGCCTCTCTGCCTACTTGTGATCTCTGTCTGTCAAATAAATAAATAAATAACTAAATAAAAAAAAAAAAGGGGGGGGGCGCCTGGGTGGTTCAGTGGGTTAAAGCCTCTGCCTTCGGCTCAGGTCATGGTCCCAGGGTCCTGGGATCGAGCCCCGCATTGGGCTCTCTGCTCAGTGGGGAGCCTGCTTCCTCCTCTCTCTCTCTCTGCCTGCTTCTCTGCCTAGTTGTGATCTCTGTCAAATAAATAAATAAATAAATAAAAATTCAAAAGGGGGCAAATAGAAAACAAATAACAAATAATAAAATTCAACAACATTAATAATTACATGAAATGTTAATGATCTAAACACTCCAATTAGGAGTAGATATAAGAGAAGACCCAACAATATGGTGCCTATGAGACTTTAAAAATAAAGACGGAGATAGGTACGTGGACAGAGAAGGATATACCGTGAAGACATTAAGCTTAAGAAGGCTAGAGTGGATGTATTCTCATCAGAGAAAATATACATCAAGACAGTATATTGTAAGACATCAAATGGGACATTTTTTGAAGAATAAAAGGACAATTTGTTAAAAAGACATCACAATTATGAATGTGTAAGCCCCTAACAGCAGAGCCTCAAAATACACACAGAGCAAAAATAAAAGGGAGAAGCAATTCCATGATTCCAGGATCATGGCTAGAGATTTAAAAACTCCTCTCTCAGCAATCAATTGAACTGGCAAAAGTAAACAGACAAAAAAATAAATGAAAGCATAAGAAACCTGATCAAACTGACAATTGGAAAACACTAGACCCAGCAACTGCCGTACACACGCTCTTTCCAAGCCCAGGAGAACGAGCCCGAGAAACACTCCACACCGGACCACAGAATCATTTTAAATGGATAAGCACCTTAGCCATCTTTTGTTGATCTTGCTTTCTTCTTTTTTTTTAAGATTTTATTTATTTATTTATTTGAGAGAAAGAATGAGAGAGAGAGAGCATGAGAAGGGGCAGGGTCAGAGGGAGAAGCAGACTCCCCGATGAGAAGGGAGCCCCATGCGGGACTCGATCCTGACCTGAGCCAGGGGCAGTCGCTTAACCAACTGAGCCACCCAGGTGCCCTTTTATTCTTACTTTTCACCTCACTATTTATCAAGCACTTAATCCCCTTAAAAATATTTCACCATCTTTAAAATTGTTGCCATTTTATTAATCTAGAAAAGTTAGCATTAAACATTTTCGCTCACATACTTCACACCAGTAGCAACATTAGATGAGAAGCTCATATATGTACCTACAATATACATTTTTGATTTACATATATAAATAAAATACAAATACCATAAAATCCCCACAAGATAGAATGTACCAAAATAAAAGATTAAAAGTAAATTAAAACACTCTTGACTTTCTCCCCCGAACTGCAATCAATCAGTGCACAGCCCCGAGGTCATGGATGTCCTGCTTTCGAACTCCTGCTGTGCAGTAATCTCTGCACACACCGTTCTCTGAGCAGACACAGAGCACAGAGACGCAAGACAAGGGCGTGACCATGCTGTGTCTGACTGTGAGAGGCAGGTCTGCAGGGTCTTTAGAGCCCTATCAGCTACAGGCTTCCCAAGCTCCCCTCGTGATGCACGTTGTGGAAAATCTGACCTGAGTAACTCAGACCGGTTGTCCACGATGCCCAACCCAGCTAGTAATAACTGTATCATTGTTTACAACAAAATTAAAAATGCCGGAATAATGGTTTTCCTTGCAAATCACTCAGATTTTCTAAAAGAAATTACGTGGCCTTCAACCTGGACACTGGACACTGAGGAAGCCTCGCAAACCTCAGCGAACCAGGAGACGGATGCACGATTCCACTGGGAGAAAAACCTCAACATCGGGTTTCATTTTCACAAATAAGCACTCTGTAATGGAACACTCTAAAATACCTTCTTGGAAGAATAGGAGATCATTTAGGAGCCCATAACACAGCACTGGTACAAGTTTTCTATCAGTTGCTTTGAAATAGTCTATTAGGGAAAACCGTAGGAGAATCTTCTGAGGAAAAGGATGGTCTAATTTCTTTTCTTTTCTTAAGATAATCTCAAACTTTGACAACTCTAGAAATAGCTCCAATAGGATTTTTTGCTTGTAGAGTCCCGGGATCGAGTCCCGCGTAGGGCTCCCAGCTCCGCAGGGAGTC